CTTTTTTTTTAACAAAGTACAGTACATAAAAAGAATAATTTAAAATAAACTACTGTTTTGTATCTTGGCACCCAAGATGCCAACTGTTTAAGCCAGGCTAAACAATCATGCTTTTGAAGTTTATTAATGAATTCTCAAGAATTTTTCTGACTTTGCATGTTGAGAATGAATCCAAGGATGGTTCTCTTGTATATCCCTCCTGAAGATGATTTTACTTCTCATGAACAGACATAAAACAGATTATTTTTGAATTTTTTTGTGACAGGGTATCTTTTCTGCTCCCTTCCTATTTCTTTCCCTGAGGCAAAGAATGATTAATACACTGGTCTGCCAAGGCAAATGGATCCAGCTTTTTGGAATCTCCATCCATAATATTAATCTACTTGAATACTTGCCAATTTAGGCTGCATTTGACTTGGAATACCGATTGATTACTGAGACAATCTGTCTTTGTTTTTAGCACTCCCTTGAAGTGAATGGCTTTTATTGACAGTTGAGGATACCCTGCCCAATACTGGAACTCTAGTGCTATCCTGTTGAGACAATATTCCTTGTTCCTCCCTGCTTGTTGATGCATGAGACAGCTGTAAGATTGTCTGACATCAGTGACAACATTAATATGTTTCTGATTTTCTACAGAATTTTGTGCAGATGTTCCTTTTGTGTCTTGACTATTTTCTTTGGACTAATATATTTGCACTGCTGAAGTCTTTGGATAAATAGTTGTTATTATGACTCTTAGAAGAGCCTACAGAAAATATTACCGTAGCAATTTCTTTATTCTCTGTGGGACTCTGTAAGTATATATTCATGCTATCAGCTAACGGACTCTTGAAAATCCATTAGAAAATGTTGGCACAATTTTATATGAAACCTGGCCTATGTGCACGTATCTCCATCATGAGTCCTTTCCTGACAATATTAAAATGTCCTAGTAAACATGCATTTCATTTGATAATACTTGGGTCTCTTTTGTCATAGGAATATTTACAAATTATTAGTATTTATATGATAGCACACAAGTTATCAAACAATAAAACAATATTAGCCTTTAATCTTTTCCTCTGTCATGGTGCTAAATGCACAAAATCAACAACTGACTTGGAATAATGGGAGGTAAAAATGTTTCAGAAAGAAATGTTAATGTTGGTGTTCCTGGAAGAAGATAGGTAAGACGTAGTGAAGAAACCATAAACTTGGTGCTTAACTTAGGGCCAGAAGAAATTAAGAGTTACACATTTACATCAGTTCAAATCAGGATAACTCGCCTGAAGTCAGTGGAGTCTGTGTATGTAAAAACACAGAGGCTACGTCTACACTGGCCCCTTTTTCGAAAGGGGCATGCTAATTTTAAACTTCGGAATAGGGAAATCCGTGGGGGATTTAAATATCCCCTGCGGGATTTAAATAAAGATGTCCGCCGCTTTTTTCCGGCTTGGGGAAAAGCCGGAAAAAAGCATCTAGACTGGCCCGATCCTCCGGAATAAAGCCCTATGAAGTAGGAATAAGAGATCCTCCGGAATAGGGCTTTATTCCGGAGGATCGGGCCAGTCTAGACGCTTTTTTCCGGCTTTTCCCCAAGCCGCAAAAAAGCGGCGGACATCTTTATTTAAATCCCGTGGGGGATATTTAAATCCCCCGCGGATTTCCCTCTTCCGAAGTTTAAAATTAGCATGCCCCTTTTGAAAAAGGGGCCAGTGTAGACGTAGCCAGAGAGATTAGAACTAGGCCCTGTGTCTTTTGAAAAAGCAATAGGAGTACCATATGGATGGCTCTTCTCAAGGCAAAGAAGAATTTCTGATTAGGGATATTAGCATATAGATATTTAAATGATTAACCAATAAGCCTGCCTTATCAATTAATCCAAACTACTTCACGCAATCCCCGCCCCTGCCCCGAGGCAGCAAGTGGTGTGGGAGGCAGGAGCTCAAGCTCAGAGGGAGCTAGCTTTGAGCACCAGATCCTGCAGAGACACCTTCCCCCTTATCCCCATATTGCTGCCTCTGATAGAGAGGTAGCAGTGCAGATGGTGAGGGGGACCGGAGAGAACTGGTATGCACAGGAAGCCGGTTTTCAAGCCGGATCCTGCATGTATTGACTCCTGTTTCAGAGGCAGCAGCACAGGATGGCAGGGGGCTCCCTGTGAATGGGGCCAGGAGTACATTGGCTGTCAGCCCTGCCCCTGCAGACCATTTTAGTAACCATGTAACTGCAAAAATTGTTGCAGTTACACAATTACTAAAAAACATAGTATCTAACATCCCTACTTTTGATCTGAAGTCTAAGTGCTACACTTAGCACTACCCTCATTCTACATTAACGGTGTGTCTAAACTACATGGCTCCATTGGTGGAGCCATGTACATTAGGCTGATCGACAGAGGGAAATGAAGCCGCAATTTAAATAATCGCAGCTTCATTTAAATTTAAATGGTTGCCGCGCTCTGCCGACCAGCTGAAGATCAGCTGTTTGTTGGCAGATCGGGGCAGTCTGGACACGCCGCAGTCGACAAGGAAACCTTTGTCGACGGGCACGGGTATGCCTCGTGAAACCAGGTTTACCTGCGCCCATCGTCAAAGACTTCTTTGTCGACCACGGCGAATCCAGACTGCCCAGATCTGCCGACAAACAGCTGATCATCAGCTGGTAGGCAGAGCGCGGCAGCCATTTAAATTTAAATGAAGCCACGATTATTTAAATCACGGCTTCATTTCTCTCTGTCAATCTGCTTAATCTACATGGCTCCATCGATGGAGCCATGTAGTTTAGACACACCATGGAAGTCAAGCCTCAGTCCATGCAAGATTCTTTACACTGACAGATTCTCTCCTTTGAACTGAGTTAAACACAGTCTGACTTTTCTGCATTCTCAATAGCTGCAAGCATTGGTGATCATCTCTTGCAATTCCTGCATTTAGGGTTAACACAGTTTGACACTCCACATCAGCCAAAAAACGCCTTTTTTTGAAAGAACACTCGTGAAATGAGGATTACCACTATCGAAAGAAAAGCCGCATTCTTTCAATTTAATTTCGAAAGAACACGGCTGTAGTCTAGATGCAGGTGAAGTTTTTTCGAAAAAAGGCTACTTTTTTCGAAAAAACCCCTGCAGTCTAGACACAGCCTAAGAAATGGCATTATCCAGGATTAGTGGACTAATCCATTTATAAATGCTGTGACTAATACATTTATAAAGCTTGCTTCCTGATCAAAGTGCTCTTCACTTCAAAATGTAGCTGCTGAAACAAGGAAGAGAAGAATTCAGTGCTCACACTGTCTCAAGAGAACAGCATCCATTAGTTAACATTTCCATACAGAAAAGACTGTTACATGCACCTCTGCTTGGAAATCTCTTAAAACCAAATATCTAGAGCTTAAGTGTATCTGTCCTATAGAAGATCAAAACCAGGACTTCTAGCACTATCTTATGTCATAAACAGCATCAGCCAGCTCCTCTTTTCAATTATATATATATGCAGCGTGAGTGTTGTTTCCCAGGAATGATATCTATTTAATCTACAGAATAAGTGTATTTTTAGTTTTAAAGTCCTTTCTAAAATTGTGTTTTTAATTACCAATTCTATTTCAAAGCCAAACTGACTGTTAACAAGGTTTTGTATCTTAAGTAAAAAATGCTGATTTCCAGTTCAAAAATTTCTTTAACATTCAGGGGAAAAGACAGACTAACCAGACAATGGCTTGGAAGCGTCTCTCTTATTTTGTTTATATAAAGTATTTTCTTTGGACACTCTAATGGCCTAGGATAGTAGATACTGGAATACATCTTATTCTTGTAAAGCTGTTCAATTGTTTATGAAAAATGCTGGTAGAAAGGAAGCTAATTGAAGGGGAGAGGAAAGAAGATAGAAGCTATATCTTGCTACTGTTCTACTGCTGAGTGGAAGGTTCAGTATTCATGATGCATAATGGGCTCCCCTTCAGATTAAAAATATATGGCCTAGGATAGTAGATACTGGAATACATCTTATTCTTGTAAAGCTGTTCAATTGTTTATGAAAAATGCTGGTAGAAAGGAAGCTAATTGAAGGGGAGAGGAAAGAAGATAGAAGCTATATCTTGCTACTGTTCTACTGCTGAGTGGAAGGTTCAGTATTCATGATGCATAATGGGCTCCCCTTCAGATTAAAAATATACAACAATCTCTCTCTCTATATATAAAAAAACTTGTTCTGTGGGATGACAGAGCAACATCATGCATCACTCTGCATCCCGCAGCTCCTCTCTCTGCCTGCAACTCTTCCCTTTCCCTTCAGCCATGCAAGCTGCACAGCCTCCAACCTCCACAGTGCTCTGGGGATATGTGAACCATGTGGTCTTTCCTCTCCCCTATGCTGGGGAAGGGGGAAATGGAAGCACTGCAGCC